TCTGAGTATAGTACTACCCTCCAACTTTATAGATAATTTTATGGATTAAATTTTACATATTATACTTGAATAAATACGGTAAATAGGTTAAAAAAAAAACTTTTCACAGAGCTCATTATCTGTTAAAGATTTGATCTGGTCAGTAAAGTAACTTTATTCATACTGTATATAACGAAAGTAAATTACCTAAAACCTAAATTAGGTGAAAGATGAGATACAAATATGTGAACATTTTGGTTTGTCAAAACTCACAATTAAAAAATGATAAAGCAGGATTTTCAGAAAATCCTGTGTAGAACGATATAAACAAAGCAGAAATAAATTAAATCCACTTTTTTTAATTTGTGTAATTGGACACCAGACTGAGTAGAGAATCAATCTCTGTTCTCTTTATTAGACAAAGTCCTTCCACGCGTATCAAAATGTAGACCCGAGCGGTGGGATCAGTGTGGTCCTCATTGTAACACAGCGCCTCGCCGCTCAGAGGAGTGTAAACAAGCCAATTGTCTCCCTGTCGAGAGTCCTATTGGCCTGCAGCAGTGCTGCAACAAGAGCAGCACCACCGGCTCGCCTTAATTCACCATCCATCACTTTCATTACAAACCACTACAGCACAGCCTTTACTGGGTGTAGGGGGRCAGAAAAAAAAGTTCCCACCCTTTCTCATTCTCCACTTCACTGTGGTGRTTCTGCACTCTGCAGCAGTTTGATAGAAAACGTTCAATTTTTCAATCAGTTTCAATGGAAAACTTAAAAGGTTACTAAAACATAACATTTTTTAAACTTCTCAGTTCTTATTCTTACGAGTTGAAATTTAGCTGATGAGCTCAACAGATATCATTTACAGAGAGCAGTTGTCAATTGCTTCAAATGCTGCTGCCCTGGAACAAACCTCTTCATATGTAAATTGAAAAAAGCAATTCATTATCCGGCGCCAGAGCACGCCCGCACACTTCCTCTCAACTACGGCTTTTTTTTWAATGGGTGAAACAGAAGTGGTTTAGAGTTTCTGCCTCATATTTTCTAAASTCTTTTAAATTTGAGAAGCAGCTGAATATATTTTAAAACCAAATGATTGTGTTTCTGTAACTCCTTAGATGTGACACGCTCACACACCTTGTGTGTTTGTCATGTTAGYAAAATTTCTTCTAAACTTGTGGACGTCTTTTAATGAATGTGTACAGCTACAASTGAGCAACCAGTTTAACAGCTTTAAYTTTGTTTATTTAAAAAATATTGAGCTAAAATTTGGTGTGGAAGTAGTAGGGCTGTGTATTGGCAAGAATTTGGYGATACGATACATATCATAACAGAGGGGTCACGATACGATATATCCCGATATATTGCGATACTGTAAGCAAGGCAAAATATTGATATATTGCGATTTTTTTTTTCCAAAAATTCTATTAAATCAAAACCTCTTACTGAAAAAAAAGAAACAAAAGCTAATGTTTACTTACAATGCTAATGCTACCCCTTACTCTCTGGCGCTCAAGAGGTAGAGGAGCCAAATGGCTGGCTCACTGCTGCCAACTAGTGGTCAGAGGTTGAACTACAACATAAAAATGAATGGTTGGCAAGAAGGTCGACATTTTAAACCTTAATTAAAAATCGATACAGGGCTTTAGAATATCGATACAGTATCGGGAAATGAAATATCACACAATATTTCAGTGTATCGATATTTTCTTACACCCCTAGGAAGTAGCTGGAAGTCATCCTCTACCCATACTTGGAACGCTTCGCACTGCGCAATATTTCTGTTTAGATCTTTGACATTAATCGTTACAATAAGTCAGTAAATTCTAAAGATGCTGAGGTCATTAGGGTGTGACTTTGTCAGAGTTCCTACTGCTTAAGGTAAGTTCAATTTAAGACTTTTAAATGCCATTTGAAATCAAATTAAGGTCGTATTCACACCTGATAGTCCGGCAGACTCGGTTCGATTGGGGACCAAAACTGCAAGCTTTGTTGGTGCGGTTTGAATTCACACTGCACTTTCTCAACTGAACTAAACCAGGTAAACAACCTGTTCCCGCCCTCACCTGTGGGGGCACTGCACCAGGAACCACTAAAGGAATCAACATGAAAACCTCAGAAGAAGACACGGAGCGCCACTTCCGTCTTCACAGAATGCAAACAAACAATAGTAACGTTACATTTTAGTGGTTATAGGGTTTATTTTTTGTTTTTGGCATATGTACTAAACAAATAGTCTTCAACAATGAGCTCAGCATGAGAGGAAGATGAGGCGGAACCACGGAGATTATTGTTTTGCACACAAGCGGCTGAGGAAGCTCCGTGTTATCGAGTAGGAGCGCGTCCAGCTCCACAATCATGTTCACCTTATACAGTCGTCCAGTAAGGTATTTACACCATATAAGTACATTTATTACTGTTATTACTCAGAATGTCATGCGGTATAGTCCACTTCCTGCTTTTGGAGCGGTCTCTGGTCCTCTTAGCGTTCACACATGCAGTCGAACCGCACCAGAGTTTGTTTCAATCGAACCGAGACCTAGGTTTTCAGGCGGACCAGAGTTCGCTTTTATGGTCTGAGTCAGAGTTCGATTACGTGTTCACACATCCACAAACAAACCAGACTTTCCAGGCAAACGAACTAGAGTTCAATTAAAATCGGACTAAACAGTGCAGGTGTGAACACGACCTAAGACCAAGTTCACAACAAACAAATGTAAAAAATAAGCAGCCTACAGTATTTTTAGTCTTTACAGCTAAAATAAATGTTTATCAAATAAAGTCTAATGTTACAAGTAATCGTGGATCCCTTTAAGGCTATTTCCTTTTTTTTGGATTGATGAATTCAAGACTTTATAAGAATGTGCAATAACCCTGAGTGTGCATAAAGTTATTTACTGGGTTCAACTCTGTCCCTTATTATTATACAATAATCTTAGGTCAAAAATCTGGCATAAAAGSCTACGAGCAATTTGAATCCCTGGTCACTAAAATCTTTATTTAAGAGAATAAATTAAAGTTCAAACGAGAAAATTCTTCCAATGACTTCAACCAGTCACCCAGAAGGCTCTTCTAACCAGAATAATTCTGTTCAAGTACCTGTTGACGCGTTAAAAGACTTGATTCTAAAAGATGGTGACATCATTGGGGGACGGGGGATGTTGACATTTCATTTTTTTAACCAGGCAATCCAGTGCAACAGTCAGGCAGCTCTACTTCACCTTTAAAAACTTGTAATGCTGCTCCAGATCCTCATCCTTAAAGCCTGTCCCGATCTGCAAGAGATGAGAGGAGATAAGAAAGCAGACACACTCAGATATACACATATTCCCTCGTGGGGAGACGGCAGACATTTGGCAGCGAGCAACAGAACAGAACAGCAAGCAAATCCCCCCACAACACGAACATCTTGTCTGCCTGATTCGCCTAAAGTGTCATGTCGCCTCTCAAAGGACTTGAACTCGCTGAGACACCAAAAACACCTAACAGGATGACACACACGCTGAGGAGAGAAAGCAAGCGCGGGTGTATTATGGAAATAAAGCGTTTTGTCGCCCACAGACACAACCAAGTGACCGTGAGTTTTTACTGTACGACTTCAGTGGCAGCATTCATGGTTTGGAAGTGTTTAAATCAACCGTCAGACCTTTATGCATTATTTATCTGTTGTCTGCTGAGCCAACTGTGCTCTGGTTTGTTAGGAGTGAGAACCCAACACCTCTTACACTCAGCCAATTATAAAAGACTCTTGTTATGTGAAATGATAAATCTCACCGGAGGGCTGAATCAATCGATGCTGAAGATGGAAAGTGAGAGAACGTTACCAAAAACCTGACAGCTGCCCAAAAATGTAAGCCCTGTCACGAAACGGTTTTAGTTTTAGAGCAAAGAAAAATGAATCCGTTTCAATGCAGAAGATGGAAACTTTAACAACGATTTTCTGTTTTTCTAAAACAAATAAAACAGGTTCTTTCTAACTGTAGAATTAAGTGCAACAGTTTGAGATCGTTTTTCTTCCCTACGTTCTTCACATWTTCCCCACATATTAGCTCATATACCGTTTTTTTCAGCCATCTTTTGGCTTTTATCTGTCATTCTGCTAATTATGTTTTGTGCTTTAACCAGCGTCTTTCTGCTCATTTAAGCTTTCTAAGCTTCTTGCAGTWGTTTTCTACATTTTAAGCTACTTTGTAGCTACTTCCATCTAATTTTAGCCTTTTTTGTAATCATTTTAGCTTCTTCTTTCAGCTGCTTAATTTGGCAAACATTTCTGCTTGTTTGTGCTAGATTCAGCTTTTTCAGCAACTTTCAGCTTTTTTGACTATTTTACAACAAATTGCTAAACTTATGAACATCTTTTATTTTTGCTCTGCAGAAATTATCTAGCGTTAAACATTCACACTGCATTTTTGCAGAAAATGCTAATTTTTTAGACATCACAGAGACCATGACAAAAATACAACAATTTTTAAAAAGGAAACAAAAACAAAAGTCGTAAAATAAAATCTGTGACTAGTTGGCAAACAGAATTTGCAAGTGTTTAAACTGTTGTTGTGCCCCGGTGTCTATTTAAGAATGAATATCTGTTTAATTGTATCTTCTGTTTCCAGAAGTGAGACTTTAAAAGAAACAATTTGCAACTTCTAGAGAGGAGAGGATTAAGGTTGCTGGTCCAACGCTTCAACCTTGGATTTGTCCAATATATTTTAGCATTCTGAATCTGCCCAACACTCCCGCGAGTTTTAAT